TTCCAGCTTTTGCATTCCAGTCACCAGTGATAATTAACACATCTTGATTGAATGTTTGGTCAATTTCAGACTGCAGAAGTTGATAAAAATCTTCAGTTTCCTCATCTTTGGCTTTGCTGGTTGGTGCATGAATTTGAATAATAGTAGTATTAACTGGTCTTCCTTGTAGACATATGGATATTATCCTATCACTATCCTGTCATTGTACTTCAGGACAAAACATCCTTTGTGATGATGAATGCCACACCATTCCTCTTCAATTGTCATTCCCAGCATAATAGATCATATGGTTGTCTGATTCAGAGTGGCCAAAACTGGTCCATTTCCATTCAGTAATGCCTAGGCTATCAATCTTTATGCATTCCATTTTATTTTTCACAACTGCCAACTTTCCTAGATTCATATGTTGAACATTTCATGTTCCAGTTATTAATGGATGTTTGCAGCTGTTCTTCCTCAATTTGAGTCATGCCATGCCAGCAAATGGAGATCCTGAAAGCTTTACTGTATCCATATCATTAAGGTTGTTTCTACTCTGATGAGGCAGCCCTTTTGTGGTCATATTTTGAGTGCCTTCTGACCTAATGGGCTTGTCCTCTTGCACTGTATTGGATGACGTTTCTGGGCTGTTCATAAAGTTGCCCAGCAATGTATCAGACAGTGTTTCTCTGCTATTCATAAGGTTTCCCCTGGCCAATTCTTTTAGAAGTGGATGGCCTCTTCTTTCTTCCTAGTCTGTCTTAATCTGTAAGCTGCATTGAAACCTGTACACCATCTACAACCCTACTAGCATTTAAGCACCAGTGGCACAGCTTCAAGCCTCATAGCAACACACAGTCCACCACAGTATGACAAACTGACAGATAAGTTCATCTCCCTTAGCTGTTTGAAACCTATCCACTCTCCCTTTACCTGGAACCTGCTGCTTTGTCATTCCTGGCTTTCCCTCCTTCCTGCCTCTTGGGTGGGACCTGTCTCCCTCCCCTTACCTGGATCCTGCCATTTTGTCGTCCAAAGTTAGTCTGGTTTTTGCAAATCCTCTCAATTTCTGTTTTGTGGAAATGTTCTAATTTTGCCATCATATTTGACAGTTTTGCTAGATACATAATTTTTGCTTGGCTATTTTTTTCCTTCAGAGTTTCATATATATTATCCCATTTCCTTCTTGCCTGCATGGTTTTTGCCAAGAAAGCAGAGCTTAATCTTACTGGTTCTCCTTTGCAGGTGACTTTTCATTTTTCATGAGCTACTTTTTGGATTCTTTCTTTCTTATAAGTTTTGGTGATCTTCTTTTGGGGTATATCCTATTTGAGGTTTGTGGCACTTCTTGGATCCATGTCTTCTTGTCTTTCTTGATATTAGGGAAGTTTTCTCCCAACAAATCTTCAAAAATTTTTGCTCTCTGTGTGTGAATGTGTGCATGTGTGTGTGTTTGTTTCCCACTCTTCCTGTTCTGGAATTCCAATCACACTTAAATTATTCTTCTTTATGGTGTCCTACATAATTCTTAGGTTTTCTTCTTCTTTTTTTTTTTTTCCTGATTATTCCTCTAACAGATTAAGGTGTTAAGATATTTATCTTTAATCTTTCTAATTCTGTCTTCTGTTTTTTCAGTTCTACTCATTTGTCCTTCTAGTGTGTTACCTATTTCTAAAATTTTAGTATTTCTATTTACTTTTTTTTTATATGGTTTCTACTATTCCATTTATCTTGTTGATTTGTTCTTGTATTTAAAAAAATATCCTGGAGTTTTGTTGGTGTTTTCCTTGATTTTTGTCTGTGGTTTCCTTGAATTTTATCTTAATCAGTTTAAGGTAGCTAAATATAATTCTTTTAAATTCCTTATCAGGTATTGCCAATAGCATTTTCTTGCCCTATATTTCTGTCATTTGTTTGAGCCATCTTATCCTTTTTGTTTGCTTGTTTGTTGTTGTAATTGGAAATCATCTCTTGTCTCCAAGACATTGTAGTGTTATTATATTAATTTGTTGATTTTATGTTGGTTTATTTCAACTTGATTTGTTTTATTTTAATACATCTGGGCAACAGTACACTATCCGTGTTACTCTTGTCTCTAGTTTAGTAGCACCAGAGCACTCACCTGTCTCTGGGTGGACTTGTTAGCAGGTGTGAGTGTAGGCATGATCAATGATCATGGACAGTAGCTGAGGAAAGCCTGGGCATGTGTTGGCTGCTATTTATCATTGATCCAGTGGTGCTGGAGTGTGTGGTTGCACTCACCCAGTGGGTAGGACAGCAGGTATGGTGGGTATGGCTGGGTAAGTTTGCTGGCTCTCAACAGCTTGGTAAATATATAAGGAAAATGATTTGGGCCTAGAGGGAGAAAAGTAAAAGAAGAAAACAAAGTGGAGGAGAAGAGAGGAGACCTAAGAAGAAAAAGGAAAAGAAAATAGAGAAGAAGAAGAGATGCAAGCAAACAAAAGAAATAAATATATGGCACAGTACTGGTATAAGTGTTAATTGCCAAATATAGCTGCAACAGGAACATGGAGCTCACTCTGGGAGAGTGTGTACCTCTGTCCTTGGAAGGTTGGAAATAGACACCTCCTCCATGGAATTAAGGAAAAATGAGGGGTGAAGAGGAAAACAAGGAGTAGAATAGAGAAGAACTAAAAAGAAGGAAAAAAGAAAAAAAAAATGGAGCATAGTAGTAGTGAATGTGTCAGCCAGCAAACATGGCTATGCAGGAATAGAGCACTCACTCCATGGGAGCATGTACTTCTGACCAGGGAGGGGTGTGGGTTAACCTCATGGGCAGGATCTCCTGTTCTTGAAAATCCAAAAAGAAAGAAAGAAGGAAAAAGAACAAAGGAAGAGAAAGAAAAAGGAAAGGAGAAAAGTGAAGTGTGTGTGGGAAGATGGAAGAACTAAGCAAAAGGATAAAGATAAAAAGAAGAAAAAAAATGCGACACAGCACTGAAATTTGGTTGGGAGAGTTTGACCAGCTGCCAGGTGGGTAGAGGTGGGGGGACCCACACTTCCAGTCACTAGGAGGTTGTACAAGGTAAGGTGGGATTTAAAACCTGTCTGGTCCCCTGATCCACTTATGTGGGTGCTGGTGCATTCCTGGGCAAGTGAAACCAGTTATCTGGTTCCTGTTCTAGTTGGAGCCTGCAATAATTCAAAATGCCTGCACTGTGCCAGTTGGCAGTTTTCTGCTCCTTGTTCACTGTTTTCGTTCAGTCTTACTTCCTTCAGTTTTTGATCTCTTTCTTTTTCCTTTCCAGTGAAGTTTTGGGATACAGGATTGTTATCTGTAGCCATTTCCCTTCTGTCAAGTCATTTTTGTAGAGGGTCTGGATAGTGTATCTGCCTAGTCCACCATCTTGGATCCTCCCCTGATCCTGCTTTTAGAGAGAGAGATACACAGATAGATAGATGAATAGATGGGCAGATGGATGGATGGCTGCTGTAAAGTCAACTCTGACTCATGGTGAGTGACCCTATGTACAACAGAATAAAACATTACTTGGTGCTGCATCATCCTCATGATTGTCGGCATGTTTGAGTCCATTGTTGTGTCTTTTGTCCCAATCCATCTCACTGAGTATCACCCTACCCTGTTGGTCCTCTGCTTCACCAAACATGATATCCGTTTCTAGCAATTGGTCCCTTCTGATAATGTGTGTGAGGTGCAGAAAGCAAACTGGCTGTTAGTTCTAGTTCCTGAGAGTTGGACCACACCTAAGGGTAGTGAGCAGGGGCTGGCCAGACTAAGAGAGACCACCTGTGTTGTTGAGCTTCAGGAGGCATGATACATGGCCACATATGGAGACTGATAAAGAGACCTGAACAGGTAGGCTCAGATGAGCTTCCTGGTTGGTGGAACATCTGCTCTTGAGAGGGTTGCATGTCCCTGGGGACATGGAAGCTTTGAGATGGGGAATTTCCGAGACCTCACCCTATGCATCTCTTTCTTTGTGTCCTTTTTGGTTGTAATCAGTCTATAGTCATAACTATGCTATACTGTCAGTGAGATTCTGACAGTGAAATAATGAATCCATTGGGACAGCAACAGCCAGCAGGGGCTGGCATCTGCCCATTTGGCAGTCTAAAGGACTGTGTCCATCTAACTGGTGAACTCTGATCTAGCTCTAGGTGACTAAGGTCAGAGATGTCTTGTGGATGGCTGGCAATGAGGATGGAAAAGTGGTCCAGGATGAACTAGATCAGCCTCCACATTTTGGAGATTAGATTTGTAGTTGGTGATGAAGATGAGATTTACCAACTTTGCCTCTTGGTGCAGTGTGCCCAAAGCAAAAGAGTCAGAAAACATTCTGTTCTGATCCATAGGGTTTTCGCTGGCTAACTTTTAGAAGCAGATCACCATGAAGTCTGCTCATGCTGGACTGGGTAGGTTCTCCCAGTGCACATTCTCCCAGGTTCTGTGCACTACTGCTTTGTTGCACTTTCACAAGTGTTATTTAACTAGTTATTTAAACAACTACTTGCCCTCTTGCTCATTAATGAGGGCAAGAACTGGTGTTTGTCTTTTTCCTTTCCTTTGTGCCTAATGTTCAAAAGAGTACACTGCACATGCTAGGAACCCACAACAAGTGAGTCAAATCAGTTAAGCACAGCAGTATGGCAAATACTGTTCTTTTGAAAATAGGATTAGACTAGACAGTCCACATGGTGGTTTTAGATGTTCCTGTGTAGCATTTGAAATCAGAGGGAGACTCAAGTCTGGGTATGAATCATGATTCTGCTGCATTCTAATTCGAGAATGTGGGCAAATCACTTTATCTCTGAGCATCAGATTCCTTCTCGGTCAAATCGGACAGTAACACCTTCATCAGAGTCTGGTGCCTGCACAAACTGGACCCTCAATATCAGGTCCTCATGCCCTCCTTTAGTTCTCAGATTTTAAGACAACTCTTTTCCTTTGGAATACTTGGGCTGTTCTTCAGTGCTTGGTGTGTTCACAGGTCAGATGCTCCTTTCTTCTCACCTCCCTTTTCTCCCTGTTCACATTCTAGTATGCCTGGGTGGAGAAGTACTTTGGTGCTGACTTTCTGGAACATGTTGTACTGACTAGAGATAAAACGGTGATCTCTGCCGACCTTCTTATAGATGATCGGCCAGATATAACAGGTAAGTAACCTGAAGAGGTGAGGAGTGAACATGGAGGTTCTAGAGCAGGCTTAGACATACAGAGCACAGGCTGCTCTCCACATTCTCCTTCCAAGTGGTCTCCACTTGGCTGCTTTCCCCCTCCAGCCTGCCCCCATTTCATCACCAAATATTTATTAGATTCTGCCTTGTTGGGAAGACAAGATGCTTTTCCACATATAGCCTGGGCAGGTCAGGAGACATAGTACTGGTTCTAGTCTGGGGGCTGACTTGCTGGGTCGTCTTGGGTAAGTTACTCTATACCTCTGAAGCCTTGGTTTCCTCAGGCTCCCAAATTTTGTTTTTAGCAGCATGATACCCTCTTTGATTTTTCAAAGTAATTTGCACTGAACCTAATAATATATGAAACAGAAAAGCAAAGTATAATTCTTTGGTTGAAGGTGGGTTGGGTTTGCATTAATCCCTTTTGCTTATAGTTAAACCAACCTTAGACTGGCTTAAAAAGTAAAGGAAGAATTTATTGGCTCACACAATTGAAAAGGCAGAAATAGGAAGGCTTCAGGTATAGCTGAATTTAGTTCAAATAATGCCAGTCAAATTAATATCTTCATCCTTTGCCTCTGCTCTCTTCTGGTATCCTCCTGGGAGCCATCAGCAGTTTCAGGGTTGCAGCCTATTCTTTTGGACACCCTGGGAGATACAGGCTATTTCTTCCCTAGTGATTCTTAGAACTGGCTTGGAAAACATGTCTATTTCTAACCCAGTGCAGAGGGTGGAAACCACGGTGTACCTATCCCTGAGTTCAGAGGGGTGAGGCCAGCTTCTCCCAAACCGTGCAGTTTCCCGTGGAGAGCCAGGGTCCCTGGGCCTCAGGACAAAGATGACAGAAGGGAATGTGACCTTAAGGGCATCGAGGCCTGCTTAGCTACAGAGAACAAAGGAACAGCCTATATGAGAGGATCTGGGGGCCAGGCTGCTGCCTCAGGGCCAGTGTCACCACTTTCAGACAGTGTGGAGGTGAGGGACTATAATCTGGGGGCTGAGATGTTCATGGTTGCTGCTGTGACATGCTGTGCCAGGCAGCCAGTTGTCCCACATAGGCTGGGCCTCTCTACCCTGTGTGCTGCTGAAGGATAGCTGGGTGAGGGAGAGGAATAGCAGAGGTGTCTGGCTGGCAAGTGACTTAAGTAAGTGTGTGAAGAGAGTGGCTTCTTGTGCCTGGCCTTGCTTAAGTCCCCAAGCAACAATAGTGACCATGAGAAAAGCCACAGTTGCTATCATGAAGCACTCTCTGTGTGCATGTCTCTGTGTATGCATATATGTGTGTATGCACATGTGTGTATGCATGCGTGTGTGCATATGCTGCTGATATGAGACACTGCGTGGTAGGTGCAGTGTCTTGTTTATTCTTAGCACTACCCTGGGTGATAGGGGCTGGGACAGTTAGCACTTTACAGAGGAAACACTGAGTCCAGAGAGGAGAAGCACTTGTTGGGGAGGCAAGAGAGTGGGGCTTTGACCTGGGCAGTCTCCCTCCAGAGTGCTAAGCTGCTAGACTCAGTGCTGCTTCCCTGCCTACAGGGGCTGAGGCGAACCCCAGCTGGGAACATGTCCTCTTCACAGCCTGCCACAACCGGCACCTGCAGTTGTCACCTCCCAGCCGGAGGCTGCACTCATGGACAGACGACTGGAAAGCCATTCTGGACAGCAAGCGGCCCTGCTGAGCTGGACCATACCATGGGCTCCTTGGAGGGACCTGAGTCACAGGGCTCCCATCTCAGGGCATGTGGGGACAGTGTTCTGGGCTGGGTGAGCCCCTCTGCTGCAGAGCCCCAGGCCAAGATGTCCTTGCTCTGCATATCCTTCCCTCCCCTGCCCTGCTAGGCCTTAAACTGATCTCTGGGCAGGATTGGGTCCCTGGGCCTCAGGACAAAGATGTGTACGAGACAGTCTGGTCGACCTTAGGCAGCTGGCCCTCATGCTGCAGGAAAGGGCTGAGGGGCCCTACTCAGAGAGCCAGCGACCCTCTCTCTCCCACCCCACAGGTAAGTTCCCTAAGGGGTCAGAGCCCTGGAAAGCATGGTCCCCTCTTCCTGGGCTTACAGCACTCCACAAAATCCCAGGCATGAGGTGACCATAGTGCTTCCGAGCTCTGGGTGGTGACAAAGGGGATACAGTGGGAGGAGCCCCTGCTTCTCAGCCAAAGTGGGTCTCCTGCCTCCACTGTCCTCCTGCCTGGGCTCACCACTGTCTACCATGTGTTCAGCAAACTCCTTCAGTGCTAGCATCTGCCAGGCTCTGTGCTGTATTGTGGCACACGGCCCTCCTCGACCAGTTCCAAGGTTTCCTACACCTCAGTCTCCAGAGCCCATGTGGGCCCAGCAAACAGTAGACAGGCTAAAATGTTTGTTGAATGCATGAAAAATAAATGCCGTTCACATGTAGCCCAAAGCTGTGGGTGGTGGCCTCTTCTGCCCTACTCCCTCAGCCTCAGCTGCACATTTGAAAATAAATATCTGGGTCATTTCGCTGCACTGAGGAGAGAAGTCAAGCAGGATCTCAGCTCCACCACCCTCCTCAGCATGCCCTGCCTTACTCTTCTGGTTGAGTGGTCTCTGTCAGCTCAGCTGTTGTCAAAAGTCTAGATTTAACCTTTGAACTTGACTGGAAATATTCGGGGCTGTAGAATCTCCTGAAAGGCACAGTATAGAAGGAAATATCCTCCAGGCTGTTGGGAAAGCAGGTGTAGGTGGCAGGTATGACTTAAGTCACAAATCCAGGTATGTAAGAACTGTACATTTTCATGCCTGTGACAATCTAATTTCTGCTTGGGCCCCCATTTGGCAAAAGCATCTGTCAGTTCACTCCTACCCCCAACCCATCTTCACCAGTACTCATCCGCACCAAGTTGCTGAGCATTGGAACATCCGACATGGTCCTTGTCTCTCCATTGGGCTGTCCCTGTGTCCATCTGATCTGTTATCCCTGTCCATGCAGGTCACCATTGTCCACTGTTATCTGAGCCATGCGACTGTTCCTATGCTTGTTCTCCCTGCCTCCTAGAGGGTGGGAGAAATCTGGCTATTTGGACTCTGCAGAGGAAGAACACCTTCTCTTGGTCCCCACAAACCTGCCAAGACTTCAGGGGTTGGGGCAGGATGGCTTGGCTACCCATTCTACAGTTGGGGCAAATTATTGCTTGTCCCCCTCCTAATAGCGGCCAACCTCAGTCCATCAAGTTGATTCCAACTCATAGCAACCTTACAGTATGAACTAGAACTGCCCCATAGGTTTTCCAAGGGTATACATCTTTCTGGAAGCAGAGTCCCTCATCTTTCTCCTGCAGAGTGGCTGGTAGGTTCAAACCACTGACCTTTTGGTTAACAGCCAAATGCTTTAACCACTGTTACTCAATTCCAGGGCAATCCTGTCAGTGTACAGGGGATGCTTTGCTAAGGCCTCTCATAAGAAGGTGAAGTGGGTTCTCAGCAGATGCTGGCTGAGCTTTCTGTGTGCTGAACACTGCCCTGGGAAATAGAACATAAAAAAAGGCAAGCATGAAGTGCATCTGTTCAGGTCACAGGGAAAAGTGTTGAGTAGTGGCTCTGAAGTAAGACCTCCTGGGTTCAGAATTCCAGATCTTCCAATTTCCTAGCTGTGCCTTTGGAGGTGACACTTCGAAGCCCTAAGTTCTCATTGGGGAAAGTATATAACAACAGTCTTTACCACATAGGGCTCTCAGGTCAAATTAGTGATGCATGTGGTGTAAACACTCCTAACTGTTAGCTGTTATCATTTTCTGCTTAACAACAACCTCATGAGGTCAAGGAAGATTCCTGCTTTGTGGATGAAGAGATGTCCCAGAGAGGTTAAGTAATGTCCCAAGGCTACACTGGAAGGAGTAGAGCTGGGTTTCAAACCCAGGTCGGTCTCCCATAGTGTTTATGAAGCTACCCTTTTAACCACATGGCCTTTTCTTTGAACAAAATTTTATATGCAAGTACAATGTATAAAAGACATAAACCAGATCTTGGGGACCTGAGCCTTCCTTCTGGCTTCCTTCTCTGCTTCTCACTGCCCCTAGCCAAAAGGGACCCTGCAGAATTTCCATTGCTCTCTAAGGACACTTTGAAAACCACTGCCCCATGTCAGAATTAAGGATGAAGTTTAAGTGGGCACTTCTCAGTAATTCCTTAGAATAGAACAAATACTTGTTGAGCCTTTATTGCACCAGTTAACTCATTACTATCCACTATGGGATGTAAAGGGGGCATGACAGTTTTGTGGTGGAATTCTTGTCTTCTGTGCAGGAGACCTATGACCTATGCACTTCATGCACAGCCATAGTCCATCAGTGGGCAATTGTGTGTTGCTGCGATGCTGAACAAGTTTCAGCAAAACTTCCCATCTAAGGTAGACTAGGTGATCTGCTTCTGAAGATCAGCCAGTGAAAACCCTGTGGATCACAGTAGTACAGTGTACAACCAGTCATATGGATGGTGCAGGACCTTTGTGCATAGTGTCACTGTGAGTCAAGGGTGGACTTGATGGCAGCTATCAACAATATGGGATATAAACTTAAGACTACATTTTTACAAAGGGCTTACCATTTTGTTGGGGTCCTGGATCAGCACATAATACCCCTGTTTTTTCCATTGTGAATCCTCTTTATGTTTTCAAACAGGCTTGGTTGGAGGGAAGCTTGCCCCTTTTGTTGATGTACCTTATTAAATGCAGGCTATAAGAGTAGCCAACATGCTTCAGCATTCAGACATTTTTCTATCACATTCCTTAAGTTTTTAATCTCAGTAAACAAGTGTCCTGAGTCCCTTGATGGAACAGGCAACAGTCTGACTGCTTCACTGCTGCATAACAAGTTCTCCAACCTCCTAGTCTGAGGTGGGGACTCCTCACTACCCCACATCCTACCTCCCCACCCTTGTCCCCTTGCATTGGAGTATCCACTGGTCATGTTCCTTTTACCTGGAGCACTTGACTTTTGGGCATCATACTTTCACTTGCTAGTGTCAGAAACTCAAACCCATTTCTTGAGCAAAGCTCATGTATATTTTATCAAAAGTCAACACTTACCTTTGAACTTACTGGAAGTATTCAGGGCTGTTGGATCAGAGCCCTGAAAGCAGCAACATATAAGAAAATATCATTGGGGAGAATTTCTAACCTGTCAGAGATGCAGGCATAGGTGGCAGGTGGGTCAAATAGTGATCAGGAATTTTCTATCTGTGTGTCAGACTGATTGACTAGTTCTGATTGACTTCCTTTGGCTTATAGACACCTCGGATGACAGACTAGCTGGTGCTAACATCTCCAAGCCCTTATCAAGAAACAGCTATGGTTGTCTGCCCATAGGAACGGGAGTGGGGTACAAATAAGGCAAACAAAATTACATGCCCACATATATAGTCCACATACACAAAAGTGCCAAGTGGTGGTGGCATTAACAAGTCCAGTGGCAACCCCTATGTGATGTGTGATTATCCACATCTTAAGGTGAAGAGAAAGGTTCAGAGAGGCTGGGCAGTGTAACCTAGTCACAGCAGAACTGTTATCCAAGCCCAGGTAAACTGAGTCCCACACTGTTAGACCACGGGCTTGGATGATGTCTTACTTTGGAGGACAGACCCAGGAACAAATCTCACAAAGTTAAATTTACATCCAGTTAGCGTCTAAGTGCATGAGTGTGAGATGGGGCTGGGGTGGCCCTGGTATGAGTTTGCCATTGCAAGAACATGTGCCAGGTGTTGTACGTGGTTTTAGAAAGCTTGGCAGTGGCCACAACTGCACATGGTGGATGGGCTGGCACAGTCTGAGACATGAACAAGTGTCCTGGAATGTGGAGGGCATGAAGCATCAGATGTGGGGTGTCACCAACTTCACTTTCAGGTCCCTTTCAGCCCTCAGATTTTGTGGTTTGACTCTTCTGTGGACCACCAGGTTTCCTCTGTGATCGTAGATCAAATTCTGGCCCCACTCTTGCCTCCTTGTAACAGAGTATCCTTAACTCACAAGAGGCCTGAGTAGGTGAGGTGGTAAGACAAGGCAGGGCTTTGTTGCCCTCCAGTACAAGAGGATTGCAACTTCTGTTCCCTCATGCAGAGTGGAGATGACCAGTGCCTACCTCAAAGGCTGCTGTAAGACTTGTGTGAGGCAGTGTACCAAGTGGTGCTCAGTAAGTGGTGCCATCACTAACAACTGGCAGTGTTTTTGTAAAATGGACATATTAACAGGATCTGCTTCATAGAGTACCTGGCACATAGGAAAAGCTCAAAAGATGATAGCAGTGAAAACAAGGAAGGTAAAGATGAAGAGGCTGCTGTAGATCTCTCTCTCTCTCTCTCTCTCTCACACACACACATACACACACACGCACACACACATACACAATGTTAAAATGGAATTCTCCAGGTTGACCTGGGGTCTTAGGGCAGAAAGAGTACCCTAAAAGACACTTTTTCGTTCATGGTTACCCCCCATTAATTGGTACCCAGTCCAATGTAAGAATTATAACAGCCATTTATTTAGCATTTGTTGTGTCCTGGACACTGATAAGAACTTGCCATTACATCATAACCACTCTGTCCAGGTAGTTCTCATCTTAGCTGATTGAGAAATTGAGTCTGCATGGTCGTATGCTGACCAAGGTCATGCAGCTGTTTGGTGATGCAGCCAGCATTTAGCTGCACTCCAGGGCTTAAACTTACAA